CAGTCTTATCATGAGCTAGACAATCTTACCACTGAGTTATTGGACAGTCTTACCACAGGCTAGTCCTACCATAGAGATATCATACAGTCCTACCACGGGATAGACAACCTTGCCACAGTTATTGGACAGTCTTACCACAGGCTAGACAGTCCTAACACAGAGTTATCAGACAGTCTTACCACAGGCTAGACAGTCCTACCACAGAGCTATCGGATCTTCTTACCACATACTAGACAATCTTACCACAGTTATTGGCAGTCTTACGACAGACTAGATAGTCTTACACAGAGTTGTTGGAAAGTCTTACCACAGACTAGAGAGTCTTACCACAGGGTTATTGGGATGAAAATTGTGATTAACAGAAAACAACAGAATGCTAAATGTGCAGAACTTGATATTTCCTATTTTGCCCAAATCCCATCTCTGAATGCCCTTCTTATCCTTGACTATAGCGGCTGTGGCTGTAGTGCTATTACTGGGCTCTAGGGCAGTAGAGGTTTAACTTTATAAGAAATTGCCAAACTATTTTCCAAAGTAGTTGCACCATTTAACTCTTGCATCTTAAATATATGAGGATTCTAGTTGCTCTACATCCTCCACAACAATTAGTCCTGCCAGTCTTTTAATTTTGGCCATTCCAGTGGATACAAAATGATACTTCATTATGGTTTTAGTTTCCCTGATGACTATGTTAGGCAATTTTTCATGTGCTTGCTGGACCATTCATATTTCTTCTTTTATAAAGTGTTTGTTTAAATCTTTTGTCATTTGAAAAAATTAGAGTTTCTTTAGTACATTGTGTAGTATGTGAATTATATTTCAGTAAGACTGTTTTTTAAAAAAAATTAGAGTTGCTTTTATTTTTATTATTGACATGTAGGAGTACTTTCCATATTGTGGCTACAAGTTTTTTGTCAGACATACATGTTGCAAGTATTGTCTCCCAGTCTGTGGTTTGCCTTTTCGTTTTATTAATGATGTCTTTCAATGTGCAGTTTTTAATTTTAATCAGAGGAAAATTATCAATTTTTTATTTTTATGGTTACAGTTTTTTGTGTCCTCTCTACAAAATCTTTGCTTATTCCAAGGTCATAAAGATATTCTAATTTTTTAGAAGCTTTATAATTTTAGCTTCTATGATTCTATGACCCATTTTGAATAATTTTTGTGTATAGACTGAAGTAGAGGTCATAGGTCATTTTTTTTCCATATGAATATACAGTTTTCCAGCACCATTTTTTGAAAAGACTTTCCTTTCCCTGTTGAGCTACCTTGGTGTCTTTGTAATATTTTGGTGGTGGGGGGTCAGACTCTCCATTCTGTTCCATTTGACTGTTTGTCTATACTTAGGTCAACAACACATTGTCTTAATTACTGAAGCTTAAGTAGTAGTAAAGATCATTTAACTTTGTTATTGTTTTTCAAGATCATTTTACCTTTCTACATCCTTTGTTTTTTATATAAATTTTAAAACTAGCTTGTCAATTTGGAGTTAGTTTGCCAAGACAGCCTGTTGCTATTTTGACTGGGAATGCATTGAGTCTAAAGATTAATCTGTGGAGAATCGAATTGTTAACAGTACTGAATATGTACACTAACTTTTAAAAAGCTTTTGATGAAAACAATTTCTTTTAATATTTGTCAATGTGATAAAGTTGCACGTACATAAGATTTTCATTAACCTCAACATGTCACGTCATTAGTTTATAACATGTGCTTCATTATACCAATGTCTAAGCTTTGGTCAATATTGTATTTCTGAACCCTATTCTAGCTTCCTTAACTTCCTGAAAAAAAATGTCAGAACCACAGTGCTGACCTTTTCCAAATTAAAATGTTTTTAGGAGCTCTTGAAACAACATGACAGTGACACCTTGCAAATAGAGGAGCTGAGAAAGACCAAGGCGGTAAGCTTTGTCATCCTTTCCTGTGGACTTGGCATCTTACAAATACATCCATAAAATGATAGACTCTCAGTGAAATGGAATCTATGATAATTTTCCTAAAACCAGTAAAGAATAGAAGACCTGACCGGGCATGGTGGCTCACGCCTGTGATCCTAACACTCTGGGAGGCTGAGGCAGGAGGATCATTTGAGCTCAGGAGTTTGAGACCAGCCTGAGCAAGAGCGAGACCCCGTCTCTACTAAAAAAAAAAACAGAAATTAGCTGGACAACTAAATATATATATATAAAAGAATTAGCCGGGCATGGTGGTGCATGCCTGTAGTGCCAGCTACTCGGGAGGCTGAGGCAGAAGGATTGCTTGAGCCCAGGAGTTTGAGGTTGCTGTGAGCAAGGATGATGCCACGGCACTCTAGCCTGGGCAACACAGTGAGACTCTGTCTCAAAAAAAAAAAAGAAAAAGAATGGAAGACCTAAAGCTGAATTTACTGAATTCAATAAGTCAAGAGGATTTTTGAAACCATCTGTAAAACAAAGCCAGTGGTGTCTATTTACAGTCAGATTTGAGCAAATGTATCAGCAATATACTGTGTGATCTTCAATTGTGAATGCCTTTCCTTTCTAGCAAAGTTGAAACCACAAAAGGACTTTGAATTATAAAATGCCAAGTCTCTCCCTTTTAACTCTGAAAAGTATAAAACCGTCCCCTGTGGCACTCTGTCTCCAAGCCTCTCCTTAAAACTCTGGGTTGTACCCCACAGATGACAGCTTGCTCAAGGAACTCTATGCTTCTGGGACAAATTGTGGCACTTTGTGGGAGCCAGATGCAGAGAACAGCTGTTCAAATCCACAGAATGACTCTTGGTTCTTTCCTTCCTGGGAATTTAATTTGGATCCAGAATGGATGTTTGGGAAAAGATTAGTCATTAGGACGACATTATAAAGGAATGGTATCTTCGGGCCCAGACAGGACTTCTGTTTGAGGGGCAAACAGACTGGGATGTCCTACAAGCTACAGAAATGGGCTTTGGAGCCAGGTAGACCCAGTATAGTACAATAATTGTTTCGATGAGCTTGTCTACCAATTCTACCTGGGTCTGTTTCTATTCATTGATTTTTCTCCTCATTTATGGCCATATTTTCTTGTTCGCATGCCTGGCAGTTTTTTTATTGGATGCCAGCCATTGTGAAGTTTACCTTGTTGGGTGCCAAATATTTTTATATTCATTTAAATATTCTTGAGCTTTACCCTAGGACGCAGTTAAGTTACTTGGAAACAGTTTGATCCTTTTGAGCTTGCTTTTAAGCTTTGTTAGGCAGAATTAAAGCAGTCTTTAGCGTAGAGCTAATTTGTCCCACTGCTGAGGTAACACCTTTCTGAGTACTCTACGCAATGCCCTCAGTATTAGGTTTTTCTACTCTGGCTGGTGGGACTATTGAACTATTCCCAGTCCTGTGTTGGCTCTAGGGATTGTTCCATCTTCTCTTTGCTGGTGGTTCTCTCCCTCAGCCTCTTCTCTTTCTTCCCTCCATCTCTCTGTCCCAGAGGCACCGGCCTCCTTGCTGTTTCTTTAACAGGCCAGGATGCTCCTGCCTAGGGGGTCTGATTTCTTGATATTCTCCCTTCCTGGAAAGCTCTTTCCCAGAAATCCACATGACTGACTAATGTCCTTTCCTCCTTCTGGTCTTTACTCAAATGCCACCTGCTCAGGAGCCACTCTATGTAAGGGCTCAGCTCCCTGCCCCAACACTGCCTTTTCTCCGTTTTATTTTTTTACACAGATTTATTATCTTCTAAGCTGATAAACTCAATGAAGGCAGGGATGTTTCTCTATTTTCTTTGCTATCAATCCCCAGTTCCTAGAACAATGCCTGGCATGTCACGGGCATTCAGTAAATAGTAATTGATTTTTGAATGAATAAATGAATGAAAGAATGCAAAATAACCTGGCATAGTGCTTTGCACAATGCAACTACAGTACATGATGGCATCTCCCAACTTTACACGGCTTGGGAGGGTGCTCATTACATGGGAAGAGCTCTAGGGCTCTGAGGACGTGTAGGAGTTAAGTGCGGCTGACATCTGTAAGCAGAGACTTACCTAGTTTATTCTTTTAGCATCTTCTGCACCTAACAGAATGCATATGGAGCTTACAAGGTGCTGATTATGAGGTACTACAAAGATAATACATAGGGAAAAACAGACATGTTTACAATAAAATATAAGCACAATATAATTCCTTTGGAGGAAAGAAACACCAGTTGGTGGAATGGGTGATGGGGTCGGGAAGGTTACCATGTGGCCTTTTAGCTGGTTTTGACCGGTGAGGAGTGTTTCTGAATCTCAGAATGTGGAGAGGGTGAGGGTGGAGTTCCAACCTGAACGACAAAAGTAAGCGAAGTTGGTGACATAATGAAAGGACCCGATGTATGAAAAGAACAGCAAGGTGGATTAGGAGAGGTACTGAGGGCCAGCAGCTGAGAGGCTCTTAGTTCCAGCTGGACTCTCACACTCGCATGGCACCACAGGCCACTCTTTGTTGGATTCACTTAGAAGGCTCTGGGGCAGGAAGCGCAGCCTGCCAGGGGGGCAGAATCGTGTGGCCCCAGAAGAAACAGCTCAGGTGAGGAGAAAGGAGACTCACATAGGTGGGTGCAGGAGCCGTCCTGGCTTAGAAGCCTCTTGCCCAATATCTTTGTAACAGCTCCACGGGCATTTCGTCCAGGTCATGCCTAGTATAAGAGTCCCTGCCCCCAGGGGAGCTCAAAGCCATGGCCTCCTACCAGGTGCTGGTGTCCCCCGCAGGCCTCCCAGTGCAGATGCAGTTCACCAACCTGGGATCATTTCACTCCGAGAGATGTTGCCTACCGGCATTCCGCCTTTACCACAGTTTTCCAGAAGAACAGAACAGAAAGTGAACCCAGCGTCCAGTTTGCCCATAGGCAAGAACAAAGACGTCTTTTTGTTTGTTTTTGTTTAACGCTACACCCACAGGGACTTCAATAGCCCCATTCATCATCACAAGAAGTCTGGATTTAATTCTGTCATCAGTGGGAGCCACTGGAGTTTTGCCAGGAGGACAGTATCACTTGGGCAAAGAGCTCTGGCAGCAATGCGGAGGACAGAGTCTGAAGAGGGGAAATGAGGGGAGGCAGGACCTATTCGAAGGGTTGCCTCCCTTTTCCCCTCAGTCTGGCTTCTGCTCCCTCTCCATCCATGGAAACCACTCTTGTTAAAATCACCGGTAACTTCCAAGTTGCCAAATCCAGGCAATGCCTCCCTCACCTGACGCTGGCAGTATCAGCTGCGGTTGATCACTCTTTCCTTGAAACACTCTCCTCTCTTGGCTTCCATAGACTTCTGGGGTTTCCTTTACCTCCTTGGCCACTTCTTCTCAATCTCCTTGGCTAGGTCCTCCCATCCACCTAACCCCAAGTCCTGGAATGTTTCCGGGCTTGGTCCTGGACCCCATTTCTTTACCTCCTCTTTCTCCTTAGGTGTGTTCATCTGTCCACATAGACAGAAAGCCATCTCTGTGCCAACACCAGAGGTTGATACCTCCAGCCTCACCCCTCTTCTGAGCCCCAGGCCTGCACATCCAGCTGCCCTCTTGGCATTTCCACATAGGTGACTTACAGACACCTCAAAATTCACACATTAATGCCAGTCTTGATTTTCCTCCAGAGATTTGAGCCCCCAAATTGTCAATTCCCTCAGCTGTTCAAGACTAGACCTAAAGTCATCCCTGATTCTTCCTTTCTGTCACTCTCCCACGTCCAACCCATCAGCGTCAGCCAGTCCTCTATAGCATATTCCAAATTCATCCCCTGCTCTCCAACTCTGTCGCCACCGTACCCTCGTCCATCATTCCTCACCTGCGCCACTGTAGCACCTCCTCCTAAGCCCCCTCTCTCTTGCCCTCTAATCCATTCTCCACAGAGCAGTGACATGAGTGCAGGCACCCTTCGATGGCCTGCCATTGTTCTCAGGTGACTTGGCCTCTCAGGTACGACCTGGCTCCTCTGGATTTCCTCACCTTGGCCCACACTCCTGACTGCTATCTCTATTCCAGCCACGCTGGTGTTCCTTCAGGTCCTCAAACACACTAAGCATTTTGCCTTCGAAGGACCTTTGCACAGGCTCCTATTCATTCCTTAGTAGAGGGTTTTTTTAATTGATAGACTATTTTTTAGAGCACTTTTAGGTTTATAGAGAAACTAAGTAGAAAGTACAGAGAGTTCCCATATACTCCCCAGCCCCCATCACAGTTTCCCTATTACTAACATCTTGCATCAGGGTGGTACATTAGTTACAATTGATGAGTCGAAACTGATGCGATATTATTAACCATAGTCCATAGTTTACATTGGGGTTCACTGTTTGTGTCGTCCATTCTGTGGGTTTTGCCTAATGCATCATGTCATGCATCCACCACTGCAGTATCATACAGAATAGTTTCTCTGCTCTAAAAATGCCCTCTGCCCCCCCGGACTCCCGCTTTCATCCCTCACTTCCCTTCCCAACCCCCTGGCAGCCACTAATCCTTTTATTATCTCTATAGTTTTGCCTTTCCCAGGGTGTCATATAGTTGGGATCAGTAGTAAGTATTTAATAAAGATTTGTGCAGTGGACGAATGATTGAGAGCCATTGTAACATTCCCCGTGAGCTCTGGTGAGGGCTGGCTCTGCAACAGTGACAGTGAGGATGGAGACAAGGGCACAGATCAGAGAGCGGTAGAATTAACAGGGTGTGGTGACTGACTCGCTGCGAGCGGTGCAGGAGGAGTGGCTGAAGTCACTGCTTTGCATTCTAGTCCAGGCATCCTGGAGAAGAAAATAAATAGGTAGACACCAATACGATGTCTTGAAACAATTTCTTCTGCAGGTCATAGAGGAAGAGTTGCAGACACAAGCTCTCATCCTAGAGTCACTTAACACAAACCTCTACCATACCCAGTTGGAACTCCAGAGAGAGGTGAGTCCTGGCTGGAGTGGGATGGGGTTGGGGGAGGACCTCGGGTCTCTGTACCGCTCTGTCATATGGCTCTGCCTTGGATGGTTCTGGGTTTGAAAAGATAGCTATTAAAATGTATGTCTTTCAGAAAGCTGCGGTGGGAAATCTGGAGAAAACGCTGCAGACCAAGCTTGCTGAAGCTGAGGAAAAGTATAAGTACACCATACAGATCCTGACAAAGGAAAACAATCATCTAAGGTATGGATGCTGCTGCTCAAAAAGACGCGGCTGATTCTCTTGAGAAGTGGGAAGGAGTGTGAGTGAGGACTAGGTTAGGAAGCTGAGCTAGGTACTCCCTAGTGATGTCAAGGCAGAGGCACTTTCCAGAGGAGGGTATGTCGCTCTGAGCCTTGGCACAGAGTAACCTGCAGAGGCCAGACGGCTCATCCGAGGTGAAGCAGGGCTGTGTCTAGACATCTCTCCTTTACCTGTGTCTCCGTCTATATGCCAAACGACATGGGAAATTTATCTGCCAGTTTCTAAGTTTATTTAGTTCTATAGCTGAGGGTCATTTTCAAATCCTCTGAGTTTGGTGGTTTAGCCTTAGATGCAGCCGCTTCTAGTGCCTGTGGAAATCAACTGCTCATCAGAAATTATGCATGAAGATGCATCCTAAATCATCAAAAGCAATTTTGATCTATACTTTAATAAAGGAAAGATATTCATTGCATTGATTTAGTAGAAAGTTCCTCACATGGGAATCTGGTCACTAAATTCAAAACCACTGCAAGTAATAAGTGAGACTGCCCCTGATGAAGGGATAAAGCCACATTTCTCCCCCACCCCCCAAATATCCTATACCCTTTCTACCTTTTGAGTCTGTAGTGATACATGTTCCCTTTCCTTTTACAGGCAAAATATAATTGCCAAGAATGAAGAAATTTATGAAGGACGTTCTGGGAGATTGGCTTCTAGTACTGCTTATGAAGATGATTCTGACATCTTAGAAGATGATAACAGCAAAGGACAAGAATGAGAAAAAAGTTGCTCTCCGTAGCTGAAGATAGTAGGCACACCATCCTGTAGGCCTAGGGAACTCCTGTGAGGTTTTCTTGAGAAATGCTTATAATGAGTTTGGTTCCTGGGTTGCTCTGACTCTATTTTTGTCTTTTCACAATTTGCTTTCTTCTGAGCCGTCAGGAGTGTTTGACTTCTCATCTCAGTTGCACAGCTTATCACGACTCTTCATTGCAAAGTGATGTTCTCTGTACCTGGAACCGAGCTTTCTCTGGGCTTTGTACCATTTCCCCTCCCCCCCACTTTTTCATATTTCATTAGAAAGAGACTGATTGAAGGTCTTCTTCCTGTTGAACGTTGATTGCGTTTTGGCATGTATCATGTGTCCCCTGGGGAATTTCGCTAGCCAAAAAGATAATTTATTGATTTGATTTGGAAATCTTTTTCTTTTATACACGTACCCCTCCCTTTCCCGCCTCTCAATCATGTTCCCTAACCTACGACTTAGGAGGAATTTCTGATAATTCTTGCCACCTTCCCTAAACCATCACCAGAATTCAAATGCCCACAAGGCAGGCAACGTGAATAAGTGAAGTGGGCTGAACATGAGAAAAAACAACCCGCCATGGCGGAGGTGGGGCGGGGTTGGGGCCGAGGGGGTGGGGCTTGTTGAACGGCAGTGCGCGCGCCCTGTCGGAAGGGGGCGCTCCTCGGACCGTTGCCAGACAGGCGTATGGAGACGATGTTGTCAAATATTCTGATTTTTTTAAAAAAAGTATTCTGGATTTGATGTGACATCTCCCATTTTTTAAATGTTGACGACAAATTGTAAAAATACAACTATATGAGCCAGTATGGGGAGGCTCAAGTGAAACATGCTTGTGAATGCGAACATTTTCCACTTGTGAGGCGCCATTGGCAAAAAACAAAAAGTAAGCAAACACAAACAAACACAAAAAATCTCCAAGGAACAGTAAAATAAGATTACATTTTATTCTATTCAAAACATTTTTGAAAAAAAATTCCAAAAAAATAATATAGTCTTAAAGATGCTGAATTTCTAAGGCTGTAGAATAAGCTGAGCCAAGTAGAAAGAGCAGTGCAAATGCACGAAAGGAGGAGCGCAACATTAGCACGAAGCAAATACGTTGTCTAATACGCAGCAATATACACATTATCAGCAATAGGAGAGGCTAAAAGGAGAGCTTGGCAATAGATTACTAAAAAGCTTGCAAAATAATCATAACTCTAAAAGAATTAAATCAAATTTTTAATTTAAAAAAATATATAGTAAAGATAGCTTATTGCGAAAAAGTTAATATATTAACTTTAACCTAAAAATTGTGCAAAATAGTAATAAAACAGCAGCTAGAAACAACTATAGTGTTAATAGAGGTAAACATAGTATCAATTAAGGGGAAAGAAGAGTTTTTTCCTCAGAGTGAAGGAAGGCTGTGGCATCTGTTTCCCCATGTGTTTCCTGTCATCCTTGTTGCTCACTTCATAGTTCACTTCAGTCAGGATGGTGAGAATATCGTCACCTCTGAAAAACATCACATAACACTGTGACCATCCATGAGGGGAAAACAACTGATGAACTGACTCATCAGCTGTGCTCAGTGATAGTTCTGTCGTTCTTTTTCTCAAAACGTCAGTCATTTGAAACAATAAGTTGCTAAACCAAGACCTACCCCAGCTTTCCAGGTAAATGAGTTTTCCCAGAGCTTAATAACTTACCTTTGGTTTGTGCGGGATCTCTGTTGACCATCAGAAACCTCAGTGTCAGCGTTAGATTTGGTTTCTTTCCCTCCTGACCTGTGTGTATGCCACACTGCTCCATGTACTATGTTATTTGGCCCCACCGATCACCTCAATGTCCCCAGTACTCTCTGCCTCAAATTGACATTGCCTCTGTAGATTGATCTTTGATGCAATCAAGCTTTGGGCAGTAAAAGCTGAATGCCTCCTGCAGCTCCCCCCACTTTCTTCTCACCAAGGTCTCTTGGCAGTCTTGTTGGGCAACCTCTTCATCCACCTCAGGAGCTAGCAGCTAGCATCCGAAACCTGGCAGGACTCATGGTTTGAGTTACAAAATGAAAACATCACATTGATGTTATAGTTCACTCTTTTATATACCATGGGAAATTCTCACTCTTCATATGCTTAAAACATAATGAGATACAGGGCTGGAAGGAACCTGCAGAAGATTCCTTGCTATTCATCTGTCAGTTGTGTGTGCATTTGGGTGAACTGTGACACATGAAACCATAATTTAACTAAAGGAAGCAGACGATATAATAAATGAGGGAAGGATATTTTCCCACATTTTGTGGCTTCAAAACAGGCCAAATTAGTGTAAATATTAATATAAAAACGTTCCTACTCTTTGCTACTTATCTCCTACAATGCACTAAGAGGGTTTGAGCTTGGTTAGCTATTATAGAACTTTTGGCGAGGTGTGGCGGTTCAAGCCTGTAATCCTAGCACTACGGGAGGCTGAGGTGGGAGGATCGCTTGAGCCCAGGAGTTGGAGGTTGCAGTGAGCTATGATGACACCACTGTACTCTAGCCCAGGTGACAAAGTGAGACCCTGTCTTAAAAAAAAAAAAAGAAAAGGAACTTTCGACAGAGTTGGAGGACATTAAACATTGACGTGGGTTGCTGCCTTCTTGGAAGACTTCCAAAACTAATTGAGTTGGCTCAGTCATGTTTCTGCCTAAAGAAAGAGCTGGACTATATGACTTTACAATCCTTTCCAGCTCTGTGATACCCTGATTGTACTTTGAGGTGCTTGAATAAAGGAAAAAGTATCTCAGTTTTTCCATCTACAAACTAAAATTGTTAACACTTGCCATTCTCCCACTTTCCAACTGACCTGGGAAGCATAGCTACGGGATCCACAGCTAGACAGATGAAATACAGATGAATGGAAACCACTCCCCTAGACATTTCTCTGATCTGTCAATATTGCCTCAACCACGACACCCTTTCTACTGGGCTCTGAATATGGATATGTAGCAGTTGTGATGGGGAAGGGGCCACATGGTATAACACTGAGGAGAGTTGGGTAGGCAAGACTTACCGAGGACATCTTTCTCTCAGGCTCTGGCAAAGTGACTGGATATACCAGGTCCCCTCTACAGGGTTTCGGTAGGAAACACAGTTGTTCACAGTAGCCATGCCCAGCAGAAAGTCAGCCTCATCTGGGATATATCTCTTTTGAAATGATACATCCATTTCTAAATAGGCTTCCTTCTGTTCTGAGTCAGTCTCAACTGGTACACCTTTCTGATAATTATCGCCTTGACAAGCCTGAATAAAAAAGACTTTGGGTTTTCCAGCAAGAGAAGGGCACTTCGAACCAGTGAAATAAGATGTCAGCTCATAGATGGAGGCCTCCTCTCCATCGGTGCCATAGACAATGCCCTTGTCTCCATGGGAGAGGATACAGCAGATGAAGCAGTCTTTGTTATTGTGGTCCATGCTTTGGTAGACTTTCAGAACGTCATGGATTTCTTTTGCTGTGGAGTCTTCAAAATGTACTACCTCAAAATGAAGCTCATTAAAGGTCTTGCTTAAAGCATCTGAAAAGTGAAATAAAAAAAGTCAGTTATACCACAATAATTCCCAGCCACAGCCCTGAGCTGAAGAGAACAGTGGTCTTATCATTGGTAGATGGTAATCTGAACCAGAGGCCCGGGGCGCTGGCTCATGCCTGTAATCCCACACTTCAGGAGGCAGGAGGATTACTTGAGGCCAGGAGTTCCAGACCAGCCTGGGCAACATATCAAGACCCTGTCTCCACAAAAAAAATAAAAAATTAGCCAGTCACAGTGGCATATGCCTACAGTCCCAGCTACTAAGGAGGCTGAGGCAGGAGGATTGCTTGAGCCCAAGAGTTCGAGGCTGCAGTGAGCTATGATCCTGCCACTGCACTCCAGCCTGGGCAACAGAGCAAGATCCTGTCTCAAAAAAAAAAAAAGATTGAACCAAATATTAATGAACAAGACTCTCTATATTGTTATAGTACCTGGATTCTACAGGCTTCTAATATTTATTGACACTAGCTGAAAACATTCCCAAACCCTGAGGCAAATGAGGAAGGGGAGAGTATTGAGTGTTATTGAACTAGTTTACAAGATGAGTAAGCTATGACTTAGGCTTACTATCAAATCAATTCAAAAGATGACTATATTACTTACATAATCAGAAAAATGTTTTAATAAAATATTGATATTTTATGCTGAACCCTCTCAAAGTTATTTCTATTTATCAAAATAAAAGATATGAACTTAAAAAAATATTAAAAGACCTGTTACAAAAACAGTTACCCTCTCTCTATCTTTCCCTATTACCCAGTCAAGTTCCATGAAGGCCACTACTTTCAGCTTTTAAGTACTTCTTTTGTAACGAATTTGAGTACACTGGTATTTATTCATTTATAAATTTTAGACTTTTATATCGAGTTCTTATTATGGAAGACAAGCATCTGGTGCTCTCACACAATTATTTACAATTTTTGGTTGCATCCATCACAATATTTCTATTATTAAGAGTATGTAAACATAAGTTCTTTAATTATATTTCCTTTCTTTTTTTTTTGAGACAGAGTCTCACTGTGTTGCCCAGGCTAGAGTGCCGTGGCATCATCCTTGCTCACAGCAACCTCAAACTCCTGGGCTCAAGCGATCCTCCTGCCTCAGCCTCCCGAGTAGCTGGGACTACAGGCATGCACCACCATGCCCGGCTAATTTTTTTCTATATATTTTTAGTTGTCCAATTAATTTCTTTCTATTTTTTAGTAGAGACGGGGTCTCGCTCTTGCTCAGGCTGATCTCAAACTCCTGAGCTCAAACAATCCGCCCGCCTCTGCCTTCCAGAGAGCTAGGATTACAGGCGTGAGCCACCACGCCTGGCCTATATTTCCTTTCTTCTTAAACTTTTTTGTCTCTCCTGGAATTATGATAGTAACTGCAATACTTTTACATTTGTGTTGTTTCTTATATGCCTAACATTTTTTTTCTCCAAATGCTCTAATAGATCTGGTCAAAGTTTTTCAACATTTCCAGGCTGCTTATCTGATTCATCTTTATGTTTTCCTAGAGAACTTAATCCTGGACTATAAATAACACAGTCATCTTTTACATTGGTTTGGTAGTAAGCCTAAATAATAGCTTACCCATCTTGTAAACTAGTTCAGAAGAGAAAACAGGCCCAAAACAACACTCTCTCCTTTCTCATCTTGAACATTACATCCTTCTCCTCCAACCCCAACTGGCTGTTCCTTAAGCCTGACTGAATTTCTCTTCTCCTGGCACATCTCTGTATCTCTTCCATAATAGATCCCCTGGTTCCTCCACCTATGGCTTCCTCCTTGGTTTGCTAGCTTGTTTTGCTGGAGTCTATCCACTAGCGCATGAGGAGGAAGTTTTTTGAACCCATGCATGAGTCTCTATTTCTACTTTTATACTTTTTGATAGTTTAGCTAGATACAGAATTCTATTTCCAAAAGCATTTTTGCTTAGAATTTTGAAGGCATTTCTTCACTGTCTTTTCCAGTGTTGCTATTGAGAAATCCAATGACCTTTTGATTTCTGATACTTTATATATTTTGCTTATTTTTTTTTCTTTTTAGAAGCTTCTAGAATGTGATATGTTTTGGTATGACTCTTTCTCAGTCTGGAGATGACTATGTCATTCAATTTTTGGAAAGTTCCATTTCCCCCATTTTCTCTGTCCTCTCTTTCTGGAATTCTCACTGTCAAAGGTTGGACATCCTTGACTTATCTTCTAATTTTCTTGTCCTTTTGCTTCTAGTTTGTATTTCTTTTGTCTTCTTGTCCTACTTTCTGAGACTTTATCTTCTACACTATTGAATTTTTCATTTTGTTGCTCATTTTTTAAATTTTCAAGGATTTTTGTCTTATTTGTTCCTTTTTCATAACATCCTGTTCTTTTATCGACCTTTTACTACTCCTCTAAGAATACTAAATATAGCCTTTTTAAAGATTGCTTTTTTCCTCAACATTATCTTTGTTTCATTCACATTGTGTATCATTTTTTTCTTGTTTGTATTGCCTCTTTCTTTTCTATTAGAGGCTTTCTTCATATGCCTGATGATCTTTGGCTGTCCATTCATAAATTGACTAATTAGTCAATTAGAAAGTTGACTGAAAGCTCTGTCTTCATGAGTGTGGTTTGTTCACTGGTGGACTTCATAACAGGGTGATTGATTGGGGACCTGACCATTTCATTAGGAGACTCCGCCAGATGTCATTATCTGTAGGTCTTTTAGCTGTGGCTTTCAGCTTCTCCAGAGGAGAATCTACATCTACCAGTGTTCTTGGAACCAAGTTGGGATAGATATCTGACTTCATGCCACCAGTGTGATGAATTTTCTTTAATCTTTCTGTCTTCAATAAGATGCTTCACTGCTTCCTTTGCTGGGCCTGGTATCCCCAAGTGTAGAGACTCTCTGGTTCAATTTTATAAGAAAATAAACTCTCTATTCCTTACTCCCTGGTAGAATAGGGACAGTTCTTGGCTCTAAGAGATAAGGGTATGGATCTGGGGGTATCACGGTGCCTTATATAGGCTTTCAAAGAATCTTCCTGTTTTCAGCTCATTGCACCTCACCTATACTTCGTACTTCCAATTCCTAAATTTTTCCAGGATTCTGTGGGGTAAGTGAGTCTTCCTCTTTTCCATGTTCCTTTCTGTAATCACTTTGGTTGTAGCTGTCTCTGTTCTGTTAAGTCTATTATGTCTCTTCCTTTATTTCAACTCCCTCAAATCGTTTGAAACCTTTCATTAGCTGTCATCTCCATTCCTGTGGTGTAATTCCTGTATTATACATTTTGTAGTCCTTCTCTAGCATTTTGTCCCTGTTAGCACATCAGAGCTAACCATAAGTCAGTCCAGAGACAGTCTAGCATTAGGAATAGAGAAAAATAACTGAGCTACAATGGATCCTTGTTGATTTGGAAGAACTTTGGCAAGACTAATATAGTGCCTTGGTTCTGTGGAAAAATTCTGATTCCTTTGGAAGTATGATATGTTAATGAAAAAAATGGCTGTAAAGCAGGTTGCAAGGCACTGCAGCAGAATGGGGGCAGTGGGGCGCGTCTCAGAAGAAATGATTCACAAAGCTGGGTCTCCTACTTTTACTCATTCAGCATGGAACATAAGAACAGGAACAGAAAAAGCAGGACATGCAAACTCAAATGTCAACCAGAGACTAGTCTATCACGGGCCAAATATAAGAAAATGAACTGCCTGAAATAGAATCAAATGTTATTTAACTGAAATTTCTAAATATCTAATGAATAGAAATCAAAGGCCTGAAATTTTTTCAATACCAAGTGCATGATGACAAATGATGTCGTTAATGGACTTAAGTTCTGTGGCTTTTTAAAACCTTAGAATAGATTTGCTTGAATAAACAAATCAAATGTTAACAGGAACCATTACAAAGTCCTGATAATTATAATCTCTCTGCATTAATTTTCTAAACTTTACTCCATTTACAAAATAACTCAATAACCGATGCTGTGAGTCACGAACACTATTTTCAAAAATTCTTTGATCAAATCAAAATAATTATAAGAATATCTCAATGGTTGGGTTAAATGATTTTCATTATTATTTTTAGTTGAGGTCATTTTTTATATTCATAGACCACAAGTTATTTTTTTACTTAACTTGTAAGTTCTCAATCTTAGCTTAAATAAGCTGAGCAGAAGAATTTCTAACTGGTTTAACATTTGAAAATGCTATCTCTGTTAAGAACCCACAATTTGTGCTGCACTCAATAGCCCAACTCATATAAATCCAGCCTCTATAATAGTCTTGATACCAATGCAATTTTTTCACCTAATGCACTCCACAGATGCACTGTTCATTTAGTTGAATTAAAAGCAAACCTTGTTACTGATTTTCATTATAAGTCTTTTAGTAAGATTTAATATTTTACTTTTATATATACATTGATTTTATTTAAAAAACCAATTTAAAATATAAAAAGCAGAAAGCTAACAAATATATAAGAATGTTCTTCACCTCCACAGGGAAATAGGTTTAAATCCACTTTCTTGAAACATGTGGCCCTTTGAGTACAGCTTTTGTTCTCTCTCTTTTGATTTAAAAAAAAAAAAACTATAAGAAATATTCCACTTCTCTCTTTTGGATTCTACTGTACCTTTATCCAAATGGGTGCCATTTCTATCCTTAATTCTTCGAAGTTTGTCCACTGCCTTCCGTGCTATGCTAAAATCATAGTTGTTGAAGATCAAACAGTATCTACGAGGTTTGCTTTGCATTCTGTAAACTTTGTCAGATGTCTGGAAAACAAAAAGTCAACCCAGGAGCTAACTCTGTGGGTCAAAGACTTGAGATGGGAACATACAACTCCCCAGTAAAAGGTTAGGCCCAAGCCAGACTGCGAAGCAAGAGCACTTTCCATTGCCCCAGCTCAACTTGGGGTCATTTCCCTGAAGAACTGGTTTCCACCCATTCTCCTCACACAGGATGCCTCAGACCTCTGCCCCGTAGTTAGCTGTAAAGTCAGTGTCCCAATACTTGGGCCTCCTGAGCACTTCGTACATATGTCAATATTGTCATCATATTGTGTTATCATTATTTGTTCTCATTTCTGTTTCCCTTACCATACAGAAGACTCCTGGAGGCAGATAACATCCATGCCAAGGACTAGGATGTACTAACTTGTGAGAGCTCAACCCAGAGCTTCTGATTGAGTGAATGTCTTTGGGCTATGACCTTGTGACTTTCTTGGCTATGTATTCAACTCATCTGTGCATCCTGGCTAACAGCTGAGGGCCTGGCTTCATGCAGGACACGGTGTGGTCCCAGGATTTCTAAAGCTGATGGCATAACCCAGCTGTCAGGACCATAGCGGCTGGTGGGGAAGCATGGGCTGGTGAGGCAGGTCTTGGCTACACTGTAGGTTATAGTGTCCAGACTGTAGTACCTGACAGTACCAATCCGAGGTGGCCCTGCGTCCCGCTTATTTCCTAGGGCTATTTCAGTGCTGAGATTCTCAGCAAGTAGCTGGAAGTCTGCGTAGCCCCTCAAGGGAGAGAGAAGGGCTCCAGGCTGGGAAGCCAAATTCCTGGTTCTGCTACTTCATAGCCTTAAGACTTTGGGCAAGTAACCTAGTATCTTAGTATGTTTACTAAGATATTAAGTATTTTATTAATACCTACTAAGTATATTAAATATTTCTATTTACTATTAAGTATGTTAAGTATTTGCCAAGTATATTAAGTGTATTTGCTGAGATACTGAGATACTAAAATTTACTAAGATATTAAAACTTAGTATTTTTAGCTATTCGAAGGGGACAATGCTTATAAGAGTGCTGCTATACTGCTCACAAAGTGCCACATTACTTTGGTTAATCCTTGATTTTCAGACTGAGAGAGGTCTGGTAATTTTCTCAGAAGCCCACACTAGTGAATGGTTTCTCTCAAGCCTAATTCAGGTATTCAGGGGTTCCTCTGCTTTCTGCCATGGGGTGGGGGGTGGTGTGCAGTGAATGGGCTAATAAGTCAGAATACATTTGGTAAATTGTTGAAGGTTACATAAATAGAAGTCATTATGTCTAGAAAGGAAATTTTTCTGCTGGCTCACTGAGATGAGAACATAGAGACAGCCAGATTATGAGGGTTTGCTACTTATACCTAACTACAAACAGGAAACGTTTTTGAAATGTCAAGCTAAAAGAAAAGGCTTTGCTTTTTCCAGTCCTGCTAGACTCTTCCCCCAAAGTCCTCACCCACTGAGGCTGATACTGCTACTAGACTAGGTAGGAGGCTTCTCACCTCTCTCCCCTCCAGTACCTGGAATAGCTGGTACTATTCCAACACCTTTGTCTTTGGTCTTAAAATTAAAAATTTAATGCATAGGAAATTGAAGAGGTCACATTTTAGAAATTGTCACTTTTTTAACTTGTCGTTTTGTGAGTTTTCTACAGTTCTCAAAACTTTCAAGAAGTTTCTGCCCCTTATTGGTTCATCTGGCAGCTTAAAAAAAAAAAAAGCTAACAAATACAATAACTAGAATCTGCAACGCAAAGGGAAAGAGGATTTGGAGGTTTCCATGTACCTGTGAATCACTGTCTTGTTCTCTTGGAGAGTCTGATATTTCCAGCATTCTGAATGTCTCCTCCCCTATAAACAATGAAGACACACATCTAGAATGAGACATAGCAGGAAAGGTACCTTGGTAAAGAAATATGTAGCACCTACAACAACATAAGGTCACTTTAAAAATGAAAATTTACAGACTGCCTTGAACATAATCTCCTTTCAGTCCACAGAGATTCTGCAGGCAAGGCAATTAACACGTTTCTGAAACACAAGATCAAATTGTCTCATCACCAAAGTGGAAAATACACCAAGTAGTGCCTTAGTTCTATATTCCTCCACGTGGCCAGGTTGAATTTTGTGGTATTTGTGAGATATTCATTAATTAAGCCACTAGCTCAGGAAGAGTTACTGATTTAGAAGTATTTTACTCCTTAAAGTACTTCTGAAATCTTGGGCTCACACAGGCGTGGAACAGGGAAGGACTAGTTTCATGGACATTACTCAGACCTAACCTTTAAAAGAAGGAGATTCACAAACAGCCAGGGTAAAAATATAACTAAAATATTAGCAATATTAATATTTATGGGGTGATGGCTTTCCTGGGCTGTTAAAAATTTCTCTGAATTTAAAATCATCTTCAGTGAGTATATATAATTTTTATGATCAGAAATAATATTTGATTATTCAAAATTTTGAAGGAGATCCTTGACAGTTCCTTCTCCTGGTCCAGCCTAGCTTACTCAGGTAGAAAAAGAGAAAGAGGAAATTGAAAGGAGTGACTTAGTGTTGAAAGTGTTGAAAGAGGAAGTGACTTAACCAAGGAAGTTCTGAAAAATAATTTGAATCTAGCTACCTGGCCATAATATAGGCAGCACATGTCAAGGGACAAAAATCCCACATAGGAAAAAGTTGAGTATTTCTTACTATGAATTCTGCACCTATTTCAAACTTTGCAGCCTGTGCCTAATGACAGCTCTTTCTACACCTTCCAATGTGTGCAGAAGGTGACTACGAGTCCCCACTGCACCGCCTGCCGGTACTAGGAGAGCAGGGCATGCAGATGTGGATGTGGTGGAAGGTTGTGGGGAGGAGGCATGAGGACGGCAGAGAGCAAATTAACCAAATAGGTCTCGAAAACGCATCTCCAGGCAGTACCGTTTGAAAACTCATCTGATGATCTTTCAAGGCTCAATCTTCTCTCTGAATTAAAAGAGAACACCCCCCCCCAATATTCGATTAGAAACAATTGCAGCATGGGAGGATTTGTCAATATCACAATACATGTGGCTGATTCGCAGCTGTCAGGTTGTTTCTACCTCTGTTTAATTCTTCATAATCATTGATTTTCTTCAGCAGGCTCTTGCTGATTTTGCCAACGACTCTTTTCAGGGTGTCCAGGTTTCTTTCCCCTAGGATGACTCTCTTCTCCATTTCTATGAAAATATCAAGCAAGCTCTAGGCAGGAGAGAAAGTTGGAAGACTGGATTGAGCCAAATTAGTTTTTAGATTAGATTTTTTTTTTATTTCTACTTCCTCTAAACCAAGGGTCTGCCCTCACTTCCCAAGCAGACCCCCTGAGAGTTCATGCAGGCAGCAGGCTACTAGCAAGGCGATTCTGTTGTGTGGCCCAGAAAGACAGAAGTGAGAGGATAGAGGGGAAGCAGATGTCTGATCCCCAAGCCCTGTGCTCAAACTGCCTCTGGATGCCTTTAGTGAGGATGCATGGCTGAGACAGCAGCCGGGTCACCATGGTGACAGCCTGGGGGACTGCCTCACACCCCAGCAGTGCCTCTGGCACCCAGTCCCCCTCCAGACCTGCATTCACATATACACACAGACACACACACACACATACAGACACAAAGATATACGCACCATACACACACACATACATCACACATAACGCACACATACAAACAGGAAGCCATACATACGGACACACATACTACATACTACGCACACACACAGACATGGAGAGACACACACAGACACATACACCATGCACATAGAGAGACACACACAGAGACACACAGAGACACACAGAGACACATGCACGATACACACAGAAACACACAATACTCAGAGACACACACACAAACGCAGAGGCATAAATACAGAGATACATACCCACAGACACACACAGAGATACATACACCACACACAAACAGAGACACCACACAGAGAGACAAATAAACATAGAGATACATACACAACACACAGGCATACACAACACACAAAGACACACAACACACAGAGACACATGACACAGACACAGACACAGACACACAACACACACACACACACACACACACACACACACACACACACAGAGTTCCAGGTCCCAGTTTGTTTCAGGACTGCAGAAGTGGGGACAACATCAGGCCCACCACTGTCCTTCCCAGCCCTGCTGGATCCCACCCTGGGTTGTGGCTGCACCCTCAGCCTCCTCCTCCTGGCTCCTGGCCCTGCCTTGCTCCCAATAACTAATGTGAGTGGCACTTCACAGCATAAAGGAATCGTATCTACAGCACCTGGCCTGACAACTTTCAGACATCCCCACTGGCTGACCAACTCTCAGGACTAAATCTCAACAAGATGGCAGGTCTTACCATGTCATCTTCCAGTTTACATTTGGAGATATCCTTGCTCAAAAAAAACTTAAATGTTCTCAATTGCGATTTAGACACATCTTCTGAAATCTGAAAAAGCATGACCCTGTGATAGGAAATGAAGACACTTTAGAAATGCTTTCCTAAATAATTTCCCATTTGATAAACGCAGTCACAGTGGACTTGACTCCAACGCTCCACTCCCCCTTCAAAATAAAGGCAGTTAATGACAAGATTCCTGAGTTGAGTCCTTGGAAAGAGGCTGGTACAGTCACACAGAAGCCGACTGACTCATGCCCAACTATTATCAATTTATCATGCCCACCCTAACAATTTAAAGTTTCATCAACTTTGTCTTTCAGTTCATTTCAGTTAAATGAATCTTGTTTTTCCTTTGTCTTTCCCTATAAAAATCAAGATCTTGGTGCAATAGAAAAAAGCTTTGCCCTTTGGAAATTATGCTTTTCAGTATGCAAGTTGGATCATCACACTTCTAATGAAAACTGGTCAGCCATTACCTTCAGGAAGAAGGCCAGACATTTGGTTCTGGAATACAAAGACGCCAAACACATCCTCACCACAGCCCTCACAGATCACCACCGCTACAGGGCTGGAAGCCCAAAACACACCCAGCCGCACTGCCCTCTCACCCCTTTGTGCTGAGTCCCCACACCCCCATCCCCTTGTCTGTCTGCAGACGCCCACTCCCCACAGACAATCAGCCCAGGCATTGCCTGAGTGTCCCCAGAGCTGCATTCACTCCACTGTGCCTGAGTGTCACTGGAAGGATACCACACATATTATAATTCTCTGTTTATGAAACTGTTCAAGTTCCCTGATAGCTGAATCTGTGCCCTTTTTATTTATTTTTAATTAATTAATTTATTTATTTTTCAAGATAGGATCTTGCTCTGGTGCCTGGGCTAGAGTGCAGTGACAGGATCATAGCTCACTGCAGCCTCGAACTCCTGGGCCCAAGCGATCCTCCGTCCTCAGTCTCCATAGTAGCTGAGACTACAGATGCAGGCCACCATGCCTGGCTAATTTTGTGTGTGTGTGTGTATGTGTAGAGATAGTGTCTCACTACATTGCTCAGGCTGGTCTTGAATTCTTGGGCTCAAGTGATCCTCCTGCCTCCACCTCCCGAAGTGCTGGGATTACAGGTGTGAGCCACCGTACCCAGGCCCTTTTTATTTTCATAAACCCAGAGGGTTATGAGGTGTAGTTTTTAAAAATAGGGGACCCAGGCCTTTGGTGTTAGAACCTTGGTTCCATCATCTTTGAGCTGTGTGACTTTAGACATGTTACACATTTTTTCCGCATCTGTATGTAGATGGAAGATAAATGTATTATCTATGTCATAGGATAGTGTCAAGCATTACATGAATAAGTTTATATAAAGTACTTAAACCAATCTTTGCAAAATACTAAGTATTCAATGAGAGATAGGCATTGTTATTTTCTAATCTATGCCTGGCATATTTAAACTCTTAGAATATGCTTATTGAATAGATGAACAAAGGAATATTTTATAAATCAGCAAACCTTTCAATATTATGGTGAAAAGGAAAGTAAATTTAATACAAAAACATGTTAACTTCAAAATTAAATTAGAAAATTAAAATTCTGAAAATAAAAATAGTGCAGAAACAGAAATTATCATGATTATCATCTGCCTTATCTTTCTTCTCATGGAATCTCAACCCTAGAAGTATTTCTTTAAAGCTTTTTCAGTTTGGCCAGACTGGATCCAATAAAAACCTACTCTAACTCTTTTAACATTATTACAAGGTACCTTGCCATTTTACTTTTTTCATTATTGAAACTTACAGGCTTTCTTGTGCCATCGTTGTCTGGTAATAAACCTGGATAGTTTATAAGATACTCATTTTATAGGTAGCAATTGTAATTTGAACATAAAATTTCTAGTGTTTTCTTGTCATTTTAAAGTGGCCACACTAGCATATTTTTAATCTTCTGGCTAATAGCCAACGATGGTGAACAAGCAGTACATCGTGATTGTGCGGACCTTTTTGTCTCCAAGCCAATATGTTAAAGATTTTAACAGATCCTGCCCTTGTTAGGGGACTCTCAGCCCTCTGCCAGAAAGGTGCCTCAGCGTCGCTCACATGGCAGAAGTGGAACCTTCAGAAGTCCAAGACAGTGGACACGAGATGAAACCCCAAGCTTTCCTGGTTCTGGGGCTGTGGTTTCTTAGGATTTACTGGGGCCTTAACAAATAAATTTCTTATAAAGACTTCATAATTCTAGTAAACCAAAGCTATCCAGTGTACTGGGTTTAATAGGATGTTCCCCTCTCCCCCAAAATTCATGTCTACCCAGAACATGAGAATAGGACCTTATTTGGACATAGGACCTTTGCAGATAAAATCATGTTAAGGATGAGGTCGAATTGGATTAGGGTGTGCCCGGACTCAGTGACCGGTGTCCTTATGGGAAGAGGGAAATGCAGACAAACAGACACAGAGAAGAGAACCAGACATAAATTGGAGTGGTGCGTCTACAAGACAAGGAACACCAAGGATTGCCACAACCACCAGAAACGAGGAGAGAGGCATGCTACATACAGACTCTTCCTCAGAGCCTCCAGAAAGGAACCAGCCCTACTGACACCTTGATTTCTGACTTTGAGTCTCTAGAACTATGAAAGAATAAATTTCTTTACTTTTTAAAGCCATCCAGTTTGTAGTACTTTATTATGGCAGCCCTAGGAAACCAGTACACCCAGAATATCTCTTGTCATTTAAAATCAAAATGGTCAAGCCTCAAGTAAGGAGACATATGACAAGGAACATGCCAGAAGCTCAGGTCTCTGAGCATAAAAGGACTAGGGCATTAATGGGCTGGACCATCAGAGGACAGCGGCTGTCAGCTGCCTTTCCGTCTCACATGCCACAGTTAGTGACAACGTAATGGGCCAGAGCTAAGGCTTAAGTAGAAGTTTTCTGAAAGTAAAGCTGAAAAATACTTTGAGTGTCTGATAACAGGGGATGTTAAAAGAGAGAAGGTGACAATGTGTTTCTACTTTTTAATGTCTCATCACAGCATCACGAAGTTGCAAGTGAATGAGGCTTGTTATCCAACACAGCTGGTGGTTAGCCACTCTCCCAAGGGTGGGCGAAGCTGAGTTTCATGGCCTTTGGCAGGATGACCACGGCATCCTGCCCTCCTGCAGACGCTTAAGATCATGGCACAGCCAGACTCACAGGAGCTGAGCAGTGTCTGCAGGGCCAGGCCTAGCAGCGCACACCTCACTGGAGAACTTTGTCATTTGAGTCTTTAGGTGCGAAAGAAAAGCCTTATACCCCACTGAACATTTCCACAGGCATCCCCAAGCAGGTGCGAAGCAGTGATGCTTTATAGGCAAAGTGGGCACGTGACCTGGGCAGCAGCAAGGCAGAGGCACCAAGATATGAGAGAGAAAGAGAGAGAGAAAAATGAGGACACTTAGGAAAACTATTTTAATTTCATCATGCCTTAAGTTTCACTTCGAAAATTAAATTTTTGTTTTATGGCTTTAGCACTTTTTTTCCCCGAATTATACATAAACCCTCTCAATTTCTTAATCTGGCCATGGTGGAACATCTTCCTACAGTCTCCCAAGTGACACTCCATGGACAAGCCTTGAGGGGAACATGCAAGTTCCCCACCACGTAACAGGAACACTGTGCTCGTCTGGAGCTCAGCAAATTGTTACAAAATAGACTAGGCAGGTACCAAGATATTGTAACTACCTGGCCTGGGGAAAGTGCCGGGCACTTTCTTGCCTTGAAACAGAGGGACTGGACTGCTTTGCAGCTGCTTCGGCTGTAGTGTAGCGCCCTTAGCTAATTATAATACTAAAATCCCCGCCTAGTGGAAAATTATATCATTAACATAACATGGGTTGCGTGACAGCTTATGATGATAGTATTGTGCCAGTGAGATTTGTTTCACCCTGGGAACAAGCAAAGATACAATGTAAAAACTTTGCATTTCTTGTTGGGAAGAGATTTAAAGCAACACCACAGGGTGGGTGGCTGCAAATTTTGCTAGCAAGGGGCTCCTGCAGAAGAAATTCCTGTGCCACCCAGGTGCAAGTGCCCTAATAAGTGACTTCTAATAAACTCATTTAACACCCCAAGTTGGACTTGTGGGAGTCATTCTTCAGTCTCTCGCTTTCAGTTTGGGGGGTGGTTATTCTATACTGTCCCGGGATTGTCCCAAAACAAATCCCAATCAGCTCTGCCCACGAAGATCATCCATTCCACCCACACCTCCCAGCCCCCACACTGTGGAGTTTCTACCCACCTGTAGGCAGAAATTTGAGCCCTGCCAGGGATCTGAAGTTCTCTCTCCATCTCCTCCTTGCTAGTACCCAGGTAAGTAATCAGCAGATCCAATCGGTTAATACGGAAGAGCAGCTCCTTCAGGAAGGACAGGTTGCTTTCCTCCAACATTCTCTTTTCATGGAGTCTCTCGAATAACATCAAGGCATCCTTGATGGGTTCCTGCCTCCTTTGTGGGATGTGGTCCAGGCTTAGGAACTTGAGGGAAGCCAGCTCGTCACTGTCTATTTCTTCCCCGATACTGTAGAGTCGTCCGCTGAAATCCATCCTCGTCAAGAGGTAGTAGAATGTAGTGGTAGCCTAGGTTAAAATGTAACGTTACGTTCATATGAGGAAGAAAAGTACCACATACCGGTTTGTCCCTTCATCAAATGCCACTGCATCTACTATATGCCAGATGTTGTGCTGTGGATATAGGGAAGGGAAAAAAACCGCACAGGGAAAGTTCCTCCTTACTATTTAGGAAGGTAGGTAAACAAACGAGTCAGTGGTCACAGAGCTGTGACCAGGGTGCAGTAGGAATGCAGAGGGAGGAACCCTAACTCAGCCTGAGAGAAGGGCTTCCTGCAGAGAAAGCATAGTTCTAGCAGGAGACAAGTGGAGGCAGAACGTCCAAGTCAATTCAGGTGGGCTCAAGGAGCTCCAAAAAACAGCCACCAAAGGGCTGGGACGGAGAGTGACGGGACAGAGGCATGGAGTGGTGGCCAGGAACCCTCACTCTGAGGGGCGGGGGTTTAGACTTTGTCCTGGAGGGGGTGGGGAACTACAATGGGATTGTAAAAATGGGAATGACGTCACGCAATTTGGGATTAACACCGAAAGTGTGGAGGACAGATTGGAAGACTTGGAGGCGGGGACCTACGAGGACCTATTTGGAGGAGGCATTTAGGCAGGGGAGGGCAGGAGTGATGGGGTCTGGTTGAAACAGTAGCGGTAGGAGGACATGGAGCAGCGCTGTCCCCAAAGGGCCCAAGGACCAGCCCCTACAGCTGCTCAGCAACCCAAGTCTGGAAACCGAACCAGTCAACCCTGACAGCCCTTTCAACTGTAACAGTCTCTGAATCAGGCTAATGTGGCATTTTCCCATGTACGTGTGTGTCTGAAGGAGAGGGCAGTGCTTCAGGAAATCCCAGCCAGTCTTCACGCCAGCGGCCCAGGATCCAGGACTTCTTGAGTCCCAAGGCTCGACCCCCTTGAACGACATCTCCCCCACCCTCCCTGCTCTGACCGGCCCTGTCCAAGCAGTGAAAGGAGCCCTGGGAGCAACATTTGTGCTCGATTCTTCATAAGAACTAAACGTGGACACAGCCCCCTAATGCAGGCTACAGTGTCACTGTCCCAGGGAGGTGCCCGTGCAGTGGTTAAGAGCTTAACCTTCGATCAAACCTGGCTGGGGCACCACTGCCGGGGTGGGCAGCTCACTTTCTCAAAGCATTAGTTTCTTCCTCTGTAAAATGGAGATCAGAAAAACACCCATCTCCTAAAGTTGTTGTGAATATGTGAGATAATGCATTAAGAATGCATTCAGAGTAATGCCCAGAAACTAAAGAATGCCAAATAAACGTTAGCCTAAAAGAAGGGAAAAGCTCCTGTGCGTGGGGCCCTGACCCTCAGATCACAGGATCCTGAGCACTTCTCTCACTCCCCCAGTTTTCCCATCTCGTCAACCGAAATGTGAAAATTCTGTTGGAAGCAGTGATTCCCCAAATCTTCAAAGTGGAAGGACTTGTTGAAGCCTTACTCAGACGCTCCCTTTCCCGTAAGAGGTGACCCTGGATGGCTGCCGCGTGAGAACCGAAACTAGAAAACCTTTCCGTTCCGTGCTGCTCCATCGCTTCTACCATTCCACAGACTCTATACCCTTGGGTACCGCCTTACCCTTAAATAACCTCAACCTATTTGGACCCGTTTCCTCCCTGCGACAAGGCAGAGGGGTTCCTGCATCTTTAAGCTCCCTGCATTTGCTAACATTCATGGATGGAAACACAAACCCTGACGCTTACACTTAGAGGCAGTGATCAAGTGAACCACAACCCATGCACTTTCTACAGCTGATGCTAAAACAAAAATACTTTTGATTGGGACATTAGACTAAGTTTTCATGGTTTTTAAAAGTGGTCCAAAAGACTTTGAAAACTTTTAGTTTTTCCTTTCAAAACACCACCCCCCGCCATTATTGTAGCAGTGGTTTTCCTGAAGCATGTTTAAAATCACGGGTATGTGTGAAAATGCCACATGGCCTGATTTAGAGACTGTTACAGTCAAAAGGGCTGTCAGGTTGACCGGTTCAGGGGTTGACTGGTTTGTGAAAATTGAAAACACATAAATTACAATAGGGTCACATTATCATACACCACACACACACACATACACATACACACACACAAAGATATATTGATATAATATGCAGGTGTGTGTACCTGTTGCTTTTTTTCCCCTCACTTAATATTTATGATGAACATTTACCCTCTACCATTAAATATTCTTTGGAACATTTTTAATGTTTTTTGATTTTTGGCATGTGGACATATCAAAGTTTATTGTAAGCCATCTTCTATTTCTTTACTGTTAAAAATGATGTTGCATTCAGAGGCCTGTTCATTTATCTTGCTCATATCCTGGATTATTTCCTTAGAATAAATTGTTAGAATTATGAGGTTTCAAAACCTCTTTCCTCCCTTTTGATTTAGAGCTTACATCATTGCTGAGGCAAGTTTTCTTGATGTAGGAAACTGACAGGGACAACGACTCACAAGGATACACGTTGCATTAGGTTCATGAAGTCTGGAAAGCCTAAATCTTTCACTGCAAAAGCAGTCAATTATTATAAAAATACTTCTGTTTAAGAAAGATATTTTAAGTATGTGGCCAGCACCTAACAGCCCATGTTCCAAGTACACAAAACAAAAACTGCTGGGCATACAAGAGAACAAACCGGTGAGCCTATTCCTTGACACACACACTGTGGAAATGCACGTGTGCTCAACAAGGCACGTACGTGGAGTCTCACCGCAGTATTATGCGTAGCCCCGATTCACTAGACACGACTCAAATGTCCTTCAAGAAACGAATGGCTAGACAGTCTAAGGTACAGGCATAATGCAGAATAGTATGTGAGAGTTAAGAATAATGTGCTCCACCTTCCGAAGTATAAATGGATAGCTATCCAAGATATGTTGGAAAGAGTGAAAAAAAACAAGCTGCAATATAACAAAAAACCATACCATCTGTTTTTAAAAAACACTCAAAGCAATACAGTACATTTGCAGAGACTGCAGACAGATATGTAAAAGCAGGAAATAAAAGGTAAGGAGGGTCTAGAAGGAGACACATCAAACTCATAATGTTCCCCCTACAGAAGGGAGAAGAAAAACCAGGATGTTGGGGGTGAAGGAGTGAGGAAAAGGGATTTGCCATTTTCTGTAATGTCTTAAGTGAACATCTGCAGCTATTATGTGTGTAAATGAAATTACTGTTAAAATACTAGCTTGGGTATGTTCTTGGCAGGAAATGAGACTGTGGGGGGGGTCGGCCATGGAGGGAGGCGCAGTTCCTCCTCTGCCAGGTAAGGAGACCAGCTCGCAGGGGAGTAGCACCATCACACTTGTGTTCTTGAAAGAAAACCAAATATTTAAACCTAAACTTTAAAAAGAACTTAGAGCTAGAAACTTATTTTTCTAAAAAATAGAAACTTGCACACATTTCTCTCAGAAACTAAAAAATCTGAGAGATTAAATATAAGGAAGACTAAATATAGAGGATCTGAGTAGCACAACTGACAAACTCTAACAGGTATGTACCATCAGTAGAAAATGCACCTCCTCTTCAAACATATGCAGACGGAAATTGACTACAATGAAAATCTTAATAGATTTCCAAAAAGCAGAAATAATACAATCCATATTCTCTGACTACAGTGCAATGGCATTAGAAGTCACTAATGAAAAATGGCCACATCAAATACACTACAAAAAGGATGAACCGCATTGAAGTGGCTTTTTCAACACATGGTGTTAGAATAATTGGGCAGACTTCTTAGAACAAACTGAAATGGATACTAAACTCCTTACATCAAAATAAACTGCAGGCCGGGCGTAGTGGCTCATGCCTGTAATCCTAGCACTCTGGGAGGCCGAGGCAGGCGGATTGTTTGAGCTCAGGAGTTCGAGACCAGCCTGAGCAAGAGCGAGACCCTGTCTCTACTAAAAATAATAGAAAGCAATTATCTGGACAACTAAAAATATATAGAAAAAATTAGCCGGGCACGGTGGCGCATGCCTGTAGTCCCAACTACTGTGGAGGCTGAGGCAGGAGGATCACTTGAGCCCAGGAGTTTGAGGTTGCTGTGAGCTAGGCTGACGCCACGGCACTCACTCTAGCCAGGGCAACAGAGTGAGACTCTGTCTCCAAAAAATAAATAAATAAATAAACTGCAGATGAATCAAAGATCTAAACCTTAAAATTAAAGTACTAAGAAAAGAACCATTGAATTTTTAAAAATCATCTTGCTGTGGTGAAGAACCTAAGTATATCAGAAAACCTAAAAGCCATTAAAGAAAAGATTGAAAAATTTCTTTATATATTAACTAAAATATCCTGAAAAAATAACCCAAACAGAATTTTAAAATAAATAAACTTTGCACTGGGAAAAAAAAATAGCAATCTATATGATTTTAAAAGGCAGGTGCTCATTTTCTTAAAATAGAGTTCCTATAAGTCAGTTAGGGAAAAAAAAGAGAGAGAGAGATAAGGCACAGTGACTCAACGATGACTCACACCTATAGTCCCAGCTACTCCGGAGGCTGAGGCAGCAGGATCCCTTGAATCCAGGAGTTTGAGTCTGCAGTGAGCTATGATGATGCCACTGCAATCTAGCTTAGGCGACAGAGCAAAACTCTGCCTCAAAAAAGAAAGAAAGGAAAGAAAGCAAGAACTCAAGCAAGCAGGCAGTAACTCAACGCATAAATAGGTAAGGATCACAAGCAAACGATTCAGAGAAAAGTAAGTCCCAGAAGCTTTCTGTTTTAAGACCAATGGCTTTTAAACACTTGAAAAGATGCTCAACCTCATTTACAATAAGAAAAAAACAAATTGAAAGGCCAGTTTCAACTACCAAATCGGCAAAGTACAAAAATCGCAACACACAGCGTTGTGAGATGGTGGAAATAAAAACAGGGAGGTGAGAGCCGGGCGCAGTGGCGTGGGCCTGTAGTCCCAGCTGCTCAGGAGTATAGCTTGAACCCAGGAGTTAGAAGCTGCAGTGCACTATGATCACACCTGTGAGTAGCCACTGCACTCTA